AAACTGGCTGATACGAATCACAGAGACTACAAGAGGCCACTCGTGGTAAACACAGCAAGGCACAGATAATATTAAAAACTCGTGCATTCATGCAGTTTTGATCTAAACTTTTTTTGCCCCTGTGTCTTGTAGGTTTTCTTTGATGGAAATCGTGTGATCGATGCGGTCTACAAGAAAGACTTTTTTTATGAAGTCTTTCATGACTTGGTCTCAGCTGAATCTGGGATGTTCATGTTCAATGACTCTGAAACAATGGCATGGTTCTCCTCAAAAGTAAGCCTTCCTATTGATTGGAAATAAGATTAGACTCAGAATTTTCTGATTATTTTAACTGATTATAATACAATATAACTAACAATAGTTTAGTACAGATGATAGTCATCAATACAGTCTTTGACAACTAACTTTTGATTTTAATTTGTCCTCACCGTTGACACCAGGCAACTCAGGAAGACCAGCGTTTCTTCCTGTTTGGAGTTCTTTGTGGATTGGCCTTGTACAACCAGTGCATCATCCACTTACCCTTCCCACTGGTGCTGTTCAAGAAGCTGCTCGGTGTAAGGCCTTCACTGGAGGATTTGATAGAATTCAACCCAAGTGTTGGAGAGTAAGGCAGAAAATTTAATAACAGTTATATTTACTTCACACAAATTTTTAGTTTTAGGTGTTGATTGGTTATACAAATGATCCTAAACTATATTATGTTTACAGGAGTCTGCAGTACATTCTGGAGGACTACCAAGATGATGACTTGGAAAACCTGGACATGTATTTTTCGGTAGGGGTTTTCCACACAACTTAAATCAAAACAGTTTTCAAAATGGTCTTGGGATTCGCAATTCTTATAGCAGTAAAAAAAATTTTTTTTCAACAGATCAACTGGGATGGGAAAGACGTCGATCTTGATCCAGAAAATTCGGAAAAATTGGTGACAAGTCAAAATAAGTGAGGACAATTAAAGTGTTTTTTATAACATGTTTTTGAAAAGCAAACTATGAATTATCCTGCCAGAGAGAAGCTACACATAACAAAAAGTCATAACATAAAATAATATTTATATTTAGTAAATAATTTCTTTGTTGTAACAGCACTTCTTGGAAAGAATTGGCATGTTTTTTTCCACTAAAATTGGGTCATATTTGTGCACATTTGTGCGTGGCGCCCATTTAAACATGCCAGATCTTCTCTGCCAAAGCCAAACAGCCTATTCTGCTATTGACTCTCATTTTTAGGCTTCTGGTACTTGCAGTTCTGACAATCAGATGCTTATTATGCACCTGATTGTGCCAATCAAGGCACATTGATGGAGTGAGCCCTAGCACCACCTCCAAATTTGAAGGCCAAAACAGGGGATATCAGAGACAGGTGAATCAAGAAGACACCACCACAAAATTTTACTGTATGATCACAGGGTCAAAGTGCGGATAAAACTAGGTTTTGGTGGAAACAGTGTGATGTGTTGGGTGTATGCCAGCAAATGATCCAATCAATCCAACAAATAACACCAGACAAGAGCCAATAGCAGAATAAGCTGTTCGGCATTAGCAGAGATGATCTGGAAAGTTTGTCATGGATGAAAGTCACATGCTCAACTCTGCTGCTCAACCCACAAATGCATTTTCCTTGCAAATGTGACACAATTTGAGGGTGAATAATCAGGCTTTCCAATAGTCTAAGTTTATTTGCCAAGAAGCATAGTTACAACAAGGACATAATCAACCAACCAATTTCCTTATTTTTACTACTAAGGTTAGAAAAGGTAACAAGGTCCAGTGCGATACACCACGCTTAGTTTGCCTGTTTATAGGCAAGTAATTTAAGCAATTAATGGGAAATGACCATGGCAGAGATATAAAGCGACCACTCTTTAAACAAAAAGGAACAGAACAGTTCATGATTTGACCAAAGTGTGATTGTGTTTTTTTAAATCACTACTTTTATCTTCCAAACAGGAAGGAGTTTGTGGATGCCTACGTGAATCATGCCTTCAACACATCAGTGGAGAATGTGTTTCAGGAGTTCAAGAGAGGCTTCTTCCTGGTGTGTGAGCAGGATTTGGTGAAACTCTTCAGGCCAAAGGAGCTGCAAGAAGTGATGGTGGGCAAAGACTTCAGTGACTGGGAAAAGCTGAAACAGGTAAATCGTTAGTGACACAAAGATGTAATTTGTCTGCAATTTTTTTTTATCACATCCTTGTGCATGCTTTGATTACAGTTTGAATGAATTATTTTCAATATATCTAACAGTCTCTTTCACTATGATTAGAACACACATTATGAAGGTAAATACAGCGCAGGCCATCCCACCATACAGATGTTTTGGGAGGTTTTTGATGAACTGACTGAGAACCAGAAGAAAGCTTTCCTTTGTAAGTATTTGATTTGATCATAAAAGCTAGTTAAATGGAAGTTACGTTACTAATCTGCTTTATTAGCAGGAATTTACCATTGTAAATTTGCAACATTGCTTCATCACAGTGACTACTAAAGTTTTGATCACTCAGGAAGGTTTTGACATTTGCTAATCGATGCAGTGAACATGTGGTAGGAAACATCAGTTGCACAGCAGCTGAGGCTGTGGATAAAGCACCCCAACATGCAGAAAAGTAAACAAAAACTCACGACATTCATCGATTTCTGCTTTTTTCCTCTTCTAGGGTTTGTGACAGGATTTGACCGGGTGCCTATTCTCGGTATGGACAAAATCAAGATGCAAGTCAAAGTTAAAGAAGTCGAGGACGTCTCCTATGACCAGTACTATCCTGAGACACACACGTGCTTCTCGACCTTGGAGCTGCCGTTATACTCAACTAAGGAGATCATGCAAACCAAACTCACAGAGGCCCTGAGCAACAATAAGAGGATCCATAAGTGATCAGTATTATAAGACAGTTTTTTACTGTATTGAACAGTAAAATGTAATTGTTGATCAAGTCTAGCGTTTGCAGTTACTGAAACATACTTACTGTTACTGTCATGATCCTGCGTCTTCTACCCAGCGTTTTGGACTTTTGGTTTGGATTTATTTAATAGTCTGAGGTTGAGATCTTTGCCTCCTTCTTGGGTGTGTATATATTGTTTGTGTCTCCCTCTGTGCAGCGTCATGATCTCATCCATTCTCGGGCTGTGTGTTCTGCCTGTTAGTTTAGTTTCTGGAACATAAAAAATTTATGATGATGACTTGGCATATATGCTTGTGTGTATATATATATTTTTTAAGTGTAAATAGGTAATATTAGATTATAAAATTTGGAGAAAGTCTGTCAGTATTTCATAGTTTTTCCCCTAAATGTTACAGCTCAGAAAATACACAAAATAACTGCACTCTCTAAATCATAATCAGCCACACTTATACAATGTTGCCAGTGTTGCCAATGTTAACATATGTAAGTAAAGATTTGCAACATTTTATGAAAAACTTTGCATTATGTAAAAAAGAATGTTAGTTTTCAACATAAACTACACTGTTCTGTTTTCCAGATGTGGATTTACTATTAAAGTTTTACTTGGAGTTACCTGAAAAGTGACCCACTTTGCTCATTTCCTTCTCAATATTGTTATTCTTGCTTCAGAATAATCCAACCCCTTCCCTTTAAACCAGGATTGCTCTGTTTGGCTGCTTCCACAAACAAAAGATTTGAACAATAGGTGGGTGGAGTCTCCACCCTCAGCCACAGCTGTGTGCCAAAGTGTCATGTTTCGGCTGTGTGCAGGCAAGAGAAGGACCCAAACGCAAAACTCACAGACACAAAAGTGAACTCAAAACACTGCTTTATTGCAGGCTTGGGAAGGAAACAAAGAACAAACTAAACTGGGGAAAACTACAACTAACTCATACGTGAAAACACATGTCCACTCACACAGCTATGAGCGAGACCACAACACTGACAAAGAGAAACACAGGGCTTAAATACACAGAGGGATAACGAGGGAATGAGACACAGAAGGAGAGCACAGCTGGGAGTAATCAGGCTGGACGAGACAAGGGAAGCAAAACTAGAATCACTCACATGAGACATGGACCTTCAAAGTAAAACAGGAAACACACTGACTGAACTCTAGACATGCAAACTTAACAGCAACTGAGAAGACAGAACATAGGGACCTGAAACATGGGACAGAAAGGCACAGTAGACACAACGTGGACATAACAACGCCACAGGGAAAGAGTAAAACAAAACACAGAACCTCTTAGAAAATAAAATAGGAAACATAATGAAACGCAGACATGACTACATGAACTTGACAACATAACAGACATGAAACACATGAAGGGCAAGGGAGACTTAACAGGGGTTGGAAGACACAAGGGGAATCTAATAACAAAGAACTAGAAAAACTCATGAGCTTAATCATATAAACATCCAAATAAACTAAACTCAAAACACTGGGTCATAAGACCCGGGATCGTGACACCAAGCTGATAATATTTGGAATACCTGGTCTCACTGACATCATACAGAGCCAAGAGTTTAAAGAAACAGTCTGGAACAAAGTACTTACAAGCTTTTAGCTCACAGCGATTACTTGTACATATAATGACACCATTGTCTGAATCTTAGGTCATGTTCAATATGAGCATCCATCATTGTGATGGTATGTATGACAGAAAATAAGGAAAAGCACAAATGATATCTTGCACACCTACTTAACAGTTAACAGCCTCACACATTTTCTTGTTATTTAGGGTAAAAGCCACACCTCCTTCAGAAAACACCAAATGCAGAGTAACTTCGTGACTCATGCGAATGACTTGCTCAGTATAGGTAAATATGTTGCTGTCATGCAAAATCTGCACACGTCAACTCCAGTTTCGTTTTTGGTTTTCCAGCTAAGGTAATAAACCACGTGCCAGTGACTCACTAGGTGTGGTGTTTTTATTGTTTGTAAGTTTTGTTTTCTCACAGCTGACTTTGCTCAATAAACCAGTCAGGTTTCGTTTCATACTTCCACCTGAGTCATAAAAAGCAGCTGCTTGTACTGCACAGTCATTTTAGCATCATGTTTTCATGGGGAGAGGACTGGCAGCAGGGCTTTCGCTTGAAAAGACCCTCAAATATTTCACCTGCTGATGGAGTATGCTCTCTAAACCTCAGCTTTCAAGTCACAGATCTTTCAGCAGGTCACAGACTGCTTGCCTTCATTAAAAGAAATGGGGATGTTTACATCATTCACACAGTTGAGAGCCAAGATGAGGGAAGAGTGAGAGGGAAACAGAGTGAGTATCAGCTTTATGTCTCTGTCTCAATTTCATTTCTCTGCCTGTGTTGATCCACTATGACCTGCTCTGTGTGTAAATCTGCAGAGATTGTGAAATGCGAAGAGAAGATTGAGGCTGTGAGTTGTGGTGAAGATGTGGTGAGAATTCTGTCTGAAAGCGGCATCGTTTTTTGTGTGGATCAAACTCGCCCTCCTTTCAGTCCCAGGTGAGGTCAAAGATTTGCAGCTTCAGCTTTTAAGGGATCGTCCTTCAATTTCCAGTTGAATTCACAATAACCTGCCGTTGTAATCACAGAAGAGTTTGATCACTTCTTGCATGTGTTCTGTCAGCACACCAGAAGCACTGCGCAACAAACAGGTGTCTCAGGTGACTTGTGGGAGCCAGCATACAGTCGTTTTGACAAAAGGTAGCGTGAAGTATGTAGTAAGCAATAAAAGGCTTGTGAACCTGAATGAAAACGAATCCTTTTCACAGGTTTAGTGGATTTAGGAGTTTAATATGATAGAAAAGTATTATGTTGATTTTCCTCACAGATGGTCAGTTGTATACTTGGGGCCAGGACTCCAGGGGGCAGCTGGGTCTGGGCACAAACGAGCAATACGTGAATTCACCCCAGCATGTCAGATCTTTGTCAGCGATCCCAGTGGTCCAGGTCGCTGCAGGTGGAGAGCAGAGCTTCGCCCTCTCTGTCTCTGGAGGAGTGTTTAGCTGGGGCAGAAATGACTGTGGACAGCTTGGACTGGGTGACACACAAGGTACTACAATGAAAGTTTAAATCTCTCACTCTCAGCATCTGTCAATATCTGTAAATATCGCACTGAAGTGTGGTTCCCAGAAGGAATCTGATGTATATGTACTCAAGGTGCAGGTATCAAAATATACATGCAATATTCAGTATTTTGTTTTTCTCATAGACAGACATACACCGACTCCGGTTCATTACCTAAACATGAAGAAAACTGTTTCCATTTCCTGTGGGAAGGACCACACCGCCGCTCTGACAAAGGTGAGTCAACAACAGTTAACAGGCTCACATACAATTGTACCACCAGAACAAGCAGCGAAACAATTAAATGCTGACTATGATTTAAATGAGCTGTGATTAAAACATTGGTAGATGTCAGAAGATGTATTTTGTCGTGTGAAGTGTTGAACTCAGTATTTCAGTTGTGGTGTTTGTCGTTGTTTCCATGTTTATTTCCATAATCTTTGTTTTTTGTTTTCTTTGAGCATCTTTCAAATTACTTTACGCTTTAATTTGAAGGTTGCTTTACAGGAGGAAATAATAGATGAATGCATGATATTTGATATACACTCAATCTGTATTCTTTTTTATTTTTTTTGTTTAAAGTTGACTCCAGTTATTTATATTGAGGTTTATTTTATTTGTCTGTTTTTTAATTTGAAAGAAATTCCAGTACTTTCATGCCATCATTGATCATTTTGCATTAATTATGAAAGCGCCTTTTTGTTTCTTATTCTTTGGCTTCTAATTGCTTTTCCACAAACTCCTGAGATAACTATATGTACATGGCAAAAATGAATATGGACTGTTGTCTGGTTCTCAGGACGGTGCAGTGTTTACATTTGGCTCTGGTCAATATGGACAGCTTGGCCACAACTCGTTACAAAATGAACAGCGTCCTCGGCTTGTTGCAGAGCTCTGGGGGGCAAAGGTCACAAAGGTTGCATGTGGGAGGTAACATTTAATTATTATTATATCATAAATAATTGAAAAAGAAAAGCGTTTACTGCTGAGCGAACAGGAAACTTCAACTTCTGTCTTATATCTTCAGAGTGATCATACTGAGGTCCACCTACAACACAGATGTTTAAAACCTTTGAAAAAGCATGTTTTACATTGTGGACTTTCCTTTTCATGCACTCTTTTCTCAATCAGCTACCACACACTGGTACTGACAGAATCCAAGAAGGTGTACTCGTTTGGGTGTAATGAACAAGGGCAGCTGGGACGTGAAGAAGAGACTCAGGCATCAGTGCCACTACCTGTGCAACTGCCACATGGTAAATACATTTAACTGAACAGAAGAGTCAATTCAATTTACAATTACACAAAACTAACAGTAACAATTAAATAATTTTATTGTTAGAGTAATAATTAAGGTGTGTCACATCCAACTGTATAGATAGAGGTTATAAACCTGACAAAGACACACACATATATTCACTATGCAACAATAAAAAGTGCTACTCAGAGGTACTGAGTCTTCTGACACCAGTGAGGAGCTGCACTGTTGGGCTTTGCACTTGCTGCAGGTGTAACACAGATGAGCCAATAGCCCAATAGATAATTGGGTAAAGCTTTAGTTTAAAATAATTAGTAATTCTGACTATAAGGGCTTGAATATAATCATAGACAAAATGTTTGGCCACGCATCAAATACTGGAAAACTTAAAATAATCTAAAAATAAATGTCATGAACTCACGGCAGGTTTTCGGTTTTCTGCTGTATGTTTTTAAAGTGCTGATGAAAAAATAATTTAAGCAAATAAAACTGGACCTGCATTTGATCCAAATAACCAAGTTAACCACAGTTAACAACAAAAAGGTTTATTGCCTAAATGTCACAAATTAAGCCCACTGTAAGAGCAAGTCGCTATATCTTATCTTTCTTTCTGGAACTAAAAAACCATCCCATACAGTACAGTTGACCCTTAGGTAGATAATTTCTCATCTGTTTTTATTCTAGACATTTCTAACATCTATGCAGGAGGAAACACTTCATTTGCAACACGCACGCCTGATGAGGTACCAGCACAAATGCATACAGTGCAGTAAGGATACCTGTGGGAGGATGTAAACATGGCTTTACCAGTTATATCTACTTGTGAGGTCATGTGTCTAAACCAAACATGAACCTTTGCTTCTTTCACAGGGCGCTGATAACGAGTCAGGCAGTGGCACAAAGAACAAGGTGACAGAACACTCTATTGATAACATGATTGACAAATGGGTCTCTGCATATAATCCAAAGCTGTGGAAAAATATAAGAGAGTAAGTCTAACACAAAAGCAGCTGTTATTGTTGTTGTTTGTAACTGGTTTGCTGCACAGCATGTACACTGTAGTCTTAGTGTTACTGACTAACCTCATGAACTCTTCACAGGGAAATTCACAGGATGCTCACATCTCCATCCTGTATGAATCAAAGCTTTCTTGACAGGAGGTAAGAACACCATTCATGAGCACGATCATGACTTCTTTATATTTGTTGAATTTAACATTTGAAGATACACATTTGTCATTTTCTTCATGTCAGCAAAGATAAACATTTCCAAACTTCACCAACGTACTCCGGTTTGGACTTGTCACTTGCACGGCGAAGTTTTGAGAAGCTGGTGATGCGAGATGTTGTTTTTGCAGAGGTATTGAACTGGAATGTGACTAACACACGTTTGTAACCTGATGAGTAATTAACTAAAAAAGTAAGAAGTGGACTTTAATTAAACCTTTAATTAATAACAAGTTGCATCAGCAGGCTGAGACTGCTGTTCTGCAGCTGCTTCCATCTGTTGATATGAACCCTGTGGGAGTGGAAGGATTGAGGATCTTCCTGCTTCTCAATGAACTTCTGCATGCATGCATAGAGAAATGCAGATGGCAACAGAGCAAAAGGCTTGCTGATGCAGTCGCTGCTACCATGCAACGACTCCCCAATGAAAGCGTCCAGATTTTAGGTACGGTGACACCTACTATTTTGCTTACTGGCTGTCCCGACTTTAGTGCAGTTCTCACATCAACATCATTCTATCCAACTCCAACAGTTCTCAAAGCAGTTAATGCATTTCCCATAACACAATCTCACCTATGCAAAAAACACTAAACTAACAACTAATTTAACAAATCTGAGGAATTAGTCCAAAACCTTGCTGAAGCTTTGCGATTTAGAGCTCATAATTATGTCACAACTCAATTATTATTTAATGTAATTTAATTGTTTTTAAAGCAATTTTAAAGTCTGTTGTTCAGGCATATATTTAGGCAGACTTTAACAACTTTAAAATCTTCAGCACGTCTATTAAAAGTGTATTTATTGGATTAGTATATACTGTTTAAATGCATCAATGTATT